GCAAAGCGTCTTGCCGATGCGTCGTCTAAGAAGTCGGCGAAGAAGAAGAAGAAGACTAAGAAGCAACTAACTAAAGAAGCGAGTGCTCGTTGCCGGGAGATGTCTGCCTTTGACAAGGTTTTGGGGCACCAAAACAGCTCGGGTGCGTGTGAGTTTGAGGCTAATAATATGTGCAAACCCTAACCAGTTCTGATGCTATGAACGTGAAGCAAGTGATGGAAAGCCGGTGAGACCACCTAAACCTCCCGAGTGCAGAGAAGAGACTCAAGCGTTTACCTCTCCTGTCATGGAAGGTATAAAATATGTTCACTATGCTGACAGTAATTGTGTATATATTAAAGGTAATGCTGACACGAGCTCTCCAGTCGAGCCTAATGCGGACGCGGACGACAATGAAGGCGCGGCTATTACTGAAACGGGCCCTATTTCTAATGACACAGCTGAAGAGACCAGAAATGCTGTTGTTACTATCAGTGATGAAACCGAGTCACATAGGAAGGAGAACGGCAGCGTGAAGGGTATTGACGACTCAGCGGACGAAGTCTATAGTCCTGCCAACGACAAGGAAAGCGACGATGAGGACGATGACGGGTCTTTTGAAGAGCAAAAAGAAAGCGTTGAGCTGCAAGGAAATATTGAAGAATCTAACCAACTTCTCCACTCTTCTGGCGGCAATTCACCGCTTCGATCCGACTACGTGGACTCCTTGGACCCGAATATTGCCAACGCAGCTGGTCAAACAGAGCTGGGTACAGATGGTGAAGGTGCTGAGGACACGCCAGAAGCTGACACTGATGCCAACAGCGAGTGTGACGCGGGTGGCACAGAAAAAAGCAAGTAGGACATGCTACAGCACGAAACTCGACGCATTCCAAAATTGATGAATAACGCAGAGCAAGATCGCTTACATTTTCGCATTCAAGGTATGCCACCTTTATCGCTAGGTTGATATGAATATCATATAACACGATCGTTATGCTGACAGAATCATCGGAGGTGTTTACGGATGAGTAACTGGACCAAATGAATATCGAGGACTCGAATGTGTTGACCGACAACGTCGAAGCTGAAGTCCTGGACGCTCCCGACATTGACATGATGTATGCAGGGTACAGTGGGCCTTCCCAAGATATCATTGCCGCATCAAAGTCACCGCTCAAGCTCTTCTACTACTTCTTGCAAAAATATTTCTGGCGACAAGTAGCAACCCAAACTAACATCTACCGGAAGCAAACACTAGCGGCAAGACTGCAGCAAGCTGAGGAAAAAGAAGCCACGGTCACAAAGCGTCCATCCCGTAGTATAGCTGCGTTACTGAGGAATACTGAGTTATGCTGACAGAATCATCGGAGGTGTTTACGGATGAGTAACTGGACCAAATGAAGATCGAGGACTCGAATGTGTTGACCGACAACGTCGAAGCTGAAGTCCTGGACGCTCCCGACATTGACATGATGTATGCAGGGAACGGTGGGCCTTCCCAAGATATCATTGCCGCATCAAAGTCACCGCTCAAGCTCTTCTACTACTTTTTGCAAAAATATTTCTGGCGACAAGTAGCAACCCAAACCAACATCTACCGGAAGCAAACACTAGCGGCAAGACTGCAGCAAGCTGAGGAAAAAGAAGCCACGGTCACAAAGCGTCCATCCTGTAGTGTAGCTGCGTTACTGAGGAATACTGAGTTATGCTGACAGAATCATCGGAGGTGTTTACGGATGAGTAACTGGACCAAATGAATATCGAGGACTCGAATGTGTTGCCCGACAACGTCGAAGCTGAAGTCCTGGACGCTCCCGACATTGACATGATGTATGCAGGGTACAGTGGGCCTACCCAGGATATCATTGCCGCATCAAAGTCACCGCTCAAGCGCTTCTACTACTTCTTGCAAAAATATTTCTGGCGACAAGTAGCAACCCAAACTAACATCTACTGGAAGCAAACACTAGCGGCAAGACTGCAGCAAGCTGAGGAAAAAGAAGCCACAGCGACAAAGCGCCCACCACGTAGTATAGCTGCGTTACTGAGGAATACTGAGTTATGCTGACAGAATCATCGGAGGTGTTTACGGATGAGTAACTGGACCAAATGAAGATCGAGGACTCGAATGTGTTGCCCGACAACGTCGAAGCTGAAGTCCTGGACGCTCCCGACATTGACATGATGTATGCAGGGTACAGTGGGCCTACCCAGGATATCATTGCCGCATCAAAGTCACCGCTCAAGCTCTTCTACTACTTCTTGCAAAAATATTTCTGGCGACAAGTAGCAACCCAAACTAACATCTACTGGAAGCAAACACTAGCGGCAAGACTGCAGAAAGCTCAGGAAAAAAGAAGCCACGGCGACAAAGCGCCCACCACGTAGTAGAGCAGCGTTACTGAGGAAATTCAGAAATTTTAAAAGGATTCCCCACACGATGCGGTACATTGGATTCGCTTGCTGCTTGCTCATGCCTTACGGTCATGTAAGCGCATGGAGGAACATTGGAACAAAGACGATATTGGGGTGGTGCCAGCGGGGACATTTGGCCGTGTAATGTCACGTGACCGTTTCCGCGAAATCACAAGATTTCTTCTCTTCACAGACAACAAGGACCCTGCCGGAGTAAACGACCGAGCTTGGAAAGTCCGATCGGTTCTATCGGTACTGGAGAAGACTTCCAAGAAAGGATACGTGCTGAGATCTCGTGTGGCAGTTGATGAGGGAATCCTTACCTCTCACAACCGGCGAAACCCCACGAGAACTTTCATGAAGAATAAGCCACACCACTGGGGCTCAAAGTGCGTGATGGCTTGCTGCGCGGAGACAGGTTACTGCAGGCGGTTGGTATACTGACGAGAACAGCACAAGGATGAAAGGGATAAGCTGACATGTAAATCATTGTGCTCTCTGCTGTGCGTAGAGTCGAGTTAGACATTGGAAGACTAACGATGCAGAGCGTTCTCAATCTATAGATACGAAGAACGGCCTCGCAGCGGTTATTCGCAATATCGCGTGCGTATTTCGTGGGCTACCATATGAAGGGCGTCGTCTGGGTATTGGAGACCGCTACTTAACCTCTATAGATTTGGCGCAGCAACTACGAGCTATGTGGTTCAGCTATCTCGGGACAATGAAGTGATGCGCTGACCTATCCTAAAAAAAAGAAACGGCAAGCACGGACACCACGGGGGACGTTCCGGATGGCCGTAGCAAAGTCCAATTCCGGCCTTATCAGTGTTATGTGGGCTGACAATACAATCGTATACTTCCTAGCTTCCCAAGTGACCGCGGCGTCGACGACGGTACGTCGGCAAGAGCGGAGTGGTCCAAGTGATGTACCATACCAGGCCTAGTACCAGATTACCTGCTACATGGGCGGCTTTGATCGACATGATCAGCTATAACTTCAAGCTTATTCGATGCAGATGACGATAAGATATGGAGATATGGTGGCGTGGAGTGGATATTTTGACAAACCTATGCTGTTCGAAATTACAGGTTCCGTAAATACTACAAAGGTCGCTTCTTAGGGCTTGTTGAAATGGCGTTAGTGAACGCGTGTATTGTCGATAGCCATCGGTGGGAGAGAACTAATCCAAAAAATAATGCGCACTTCGATTGTCTGTCACAGTTGCACAAAGAGCTCATTGAAGAGGACGAAGATAGCTTCACGCAAACGCGAGTCCCTATGGGAGAGAACGACCTGGCAGAACAACCATCCACGATGCAAAGCCAGCATAAACTCATTCAAACATCGGATACGCGGGTGAATAATGGTGTACAACGCCAACGCCAGCGCCAATGCAAGGTGTGCTGTGTGTATAAACCGCAGGAAAAAAACGATGGGAAACTTCAAGCTACTATTGCGCAACGTACTCGCAGAACCGCCGAGGGTTGGTGACGCTGTGCAACAGCGTCCGTCGACACCCGAAGAGCCCCAACTTCACTTTCTCACAGATTTGGCATTTGGTCTGGCAAAATGGGGAATTCGCCCCCAAGAACAGTCACATTAGGGACAGTGTAGCAACAGATTAAGAGCAGTAGCAATGGTAGCAATGCATTGACTCACATCTGGTTAGTTCGATACCGGTTCTACTCGAGTGTGCAACCATGCTTCCAATGATGAGCTTCGTGTGCTTGGTTTACTTCTGGCAATACGCGATATGGCGACCGCAGATTCTCTCTGACCACTGAATTAACAAAAATCAGGATTTTTTTAGAGACGGGTGTGATTGGTTTAAATGCATTTCTCGCAGAGCGCATCATCTTTGCGGGAACTATTTCCGAGGAGCTTATCTACATCTTGCGCACGAAACGTACATTTCTGTATTTGCCTAAAGTATAAATTCTTTATTCTATACAAATCGGTATGCTGTTCAGAACAGCGTAAGGCCGTTTTGTACCCATCCATGTCACCCCTCCGCGGTCAAGAGGTTCAGGGTAAACTTGGTGCTCTAGTGAATAGGAGAGGATTGTTTTATATTCACAAAACTACCGCGGTAAAAATTTCCTGTTTGGCCTGGACGAGATGTCGGTTTCCCACCAACGTATCGTCTGGCTTTCCAATGTGTGTAGGCTATATCCACTGTAGCCGGTGAGAATGGGGCGATCTACACACGAAGTGGCAGCCCGGCGGACTTCTGGATTGCGGCCGGATTGAGGCCGGATTGATGGCCGACCAAGGTAAGATTAAGAAAGACGGTCACTGTTGATGGTTACATTTTGACTGTTAGCCCAATAAAGGCCGTATTCTGTATTCCACAGAAGAAGGAAAATTGCAGGTTTTAATATGCTGAAAGGTTAGAAGCAAGGTAAAAGTAGTTTCCCCGCATATAACTGTTGGTATTGGTGAGAGAGGGGCTTCTTATAATAATATATTTGAGTTGGAAAGATAGACGGGCATTTTCCTGCAACCATAGAAAAGGATGTATAAATGAGTGACAGGTTTCGAAATCATATCATAAGCCCTTTATCGCATTTCCTGCCTCATCTTTCACGCCACTCATTTCGAGATGACGGACTGGATTGATCCCAAGGAGTTCAAGCGCTTGTGGAGCTCTCTCGTCAAGGCGGGGTGGCGGACAAGACGCGCCTCAGGCCTCGGCTCAGACCATACATACGTCAAGGCGGGTGTTAAAGGCAATCTACGCCAGGCCAAAGTCGGTATTGACTATTTCATCGGTATGTTTGGTGGTTTGCGATTGTACAAAATAGTTGACTGACTATTTGTAAACGTTTTAGGGCCTAATGCGCTTTGGGCATACGCAATACAGGAAGGATTGATACCTCTACCTCCACCTCCACCTTGTCCAATTGGTTTTACACTGGCACGTACTCTGCCTTTGCACGCGCCGTTCTATGAAGCCCCCGATGGGGAAACGAGCAGCGTATGCTGCTGTTCGACGGCGCCAGCCTGAGCCACCAACATCTGAACTAGAAACTCGTACCGACTCCGCTAATCCGGCTGCTACAGAACAAAAAGCTACGGTGGAAACCACTAATCCGGCATCTACAGAAGAAGAAGGTTCGGTGGCGACCGCTAATATGGCATCTACAGAAGAAGAAGCTACGGTGGCGGCCTCAACTGTGGTTGCTACAGAACAAGCGGTTACGGTGGGAGCCCTTATTATGGCTGCTACGGAACAAGGTACTAATAACGCTGTTGATACGAGCCCAATTGATATTGAGGATACAAATGCTGGTGGTGGCGCTGCAAGTTTCGAGGAGAACTAAAGACTGACGAAGAACGGGGTCTAGAGGCATGTGATAGAGATGACGACGAACCGGGTCTAGATAAATTTGATCGAGATTACTTTATGGAAGCCTTCCGTGCTGAGAATCTCTTTGGTCCAGTTGATGTAGATGATGTCAATATCGGAGACGAGTCGTTCCTATGCAGTGCCGAGTCAGACGACGAGGATTCTGTTTTTGACGAGCACGAAATCGATGACGAGGAATATGTGGATGACGTGGAGTCAGACCCGGAATTTGAGGACGCAAGTCAGAATTTACGGCAAAACATGAGAGAAATTCGGGAGCTTGCTAGTTCAGGGTGGGAAATATACGACCAAGGCAACTGTGGTAGGTCTGTGATATACAGAATAAGAGTTATCAACGTCTAACTTGTTCTGTATTATACTTGGCACGACCGATCTAAAACTGGACGGAGCTGCTTTGTATGACGTTAGATGGGGAACCCCGAAATCTGCTGCTTCTTTTGCTGAGTCACCGATTGATATGTTCCTTTTTCTTTTTGCCCACGTCATAGTGGAAGAAAATCGCGTTGGAGTCTGAAGCCTATCGGAGAAAATGCATTCCAGCGATCGCACAGCAGACCCATGAACGACAGCTTGCAGCCCAAGCTAAAGACCCTAAGAAATCCGTGGAAGACATCATTGACAAGCTTGAAAGACAGAAGCCAATTCGAGAGCACAATATTTTGCACGTAATTGGGCTGTTGGTGGCGCGTACGCTGTGTGGACATAAGGACGGCTTGTCGAAGCATTGGACTATCAGTGAAGAAGTTGCCGTTCCTCTGGGGACCTTTAAAAGGTACATGAAGCGCGTGAAATTCAGAGCAATAACTCATTTCCTCCATTTTACAAGCACCACCAGCGGAGACACGACCACTGACAAGGCGTTCCAGATCCGTCATATTTATATATATATATATAGGTGATCGAGAAAACATTTCGTCGCGGATATCAGCTCGGTCCACGTGTAAGCTTCGACGAGGGAAAATTACAAATCGAAGTCAATACAATCCTATACGGACTTACAACAAGGAGAAGCCCCACAAGTATGGGACCAAGTGCTACATGACTTGCTGTGCCGTCAGGGGGTACTGTGCAAGGTTTGTATTGTGCTCAGTTTCCGACAGAATACGAAATCTTGTAATTTGTCATATTCTGTCTCAACTCCGTTTGTTAACTACCAATGCTACCATTTTTGTTATTCTGTATACTACAAAGTCGACGTTTATCTTGGTGCTGAACCGGACAAGCAGAAGAGCGAAGGCGCATCGCAAAGGGCAGTCATCCGCAATATCACTAAGGCATTTGATGGGTTACCGAAGCAGCGTTATGTTATAGCCGACAGCTTCTACAATTCACCTGCGCTGACACTTTCATTTCTACCACTGGGGTTATAATACGTTGGGACGCAACGAAGCGTCCAACTGGGGTGGCCTAAAAAGCTCATGTTCAAGCAGAGGAAGAGACCGCGGTCCATGCCTCGAGTAACGTAAAAGATTGCCCAAGCCAGGCAATACCCAGAGCTTGTTGCTGCTGCATGGATGGAATCGAGCCCTGTTCCCATGATCGTCACTGGGTGCGCCACAGTACTGACACGCGTGTCAAGGAAAGACAAAGGGACTGGGGCCGTCACGCAAGTTCCATGCCCGCAGTTAGTTGCTGACTACCATTCTGGCATGGGTGGAGTAGATACTCAAGATCAAATCCGCCTGCAACGCTATTCTAATCAGAGATGTGTAGCATTCAAAAAGTACTATTGACAGCTATTTCTAGCTTTTGTCGACATGGCAGTGGTGAACGGCTTCATCCTGCACAAGCTGGCCGTGACGCGGAAAGGAGATAGAGTCCCAGCACATGCCGAGTACATGAGACGCCTTCATATGAAGTTGGTAGCAGTGACTTCTGTAAGTTTCCGCTCTAATCCATACAATGAAGACTTGGCCGACGCACGGCGCCAAACTCGGGAGCACGTGCTGTGCAGCACCAAAGAGCTGTATGAGGCAAAGACGGGAAGACTCCAGGGAAATAAGAAAACCCGCCAGTTTCTCTGCAAGGTTTGCTCCGCGTTGAGTCCACCAAAGGTCAAGCGTTTTGAGAGCCGTTTTTAGTGTCGTGAGTGCAGCAGCAATATGGGAGGATACGTGTCACTTTGTAACTCTGTACGACGCACGGAAACGCGCTGACCTGCAGTCAGGTGTGGCATGGAGCGTGGGGGAGTGGGGCAGCTATCTCTTCTCACCTACGAAAAAGAATTCGCTTCAGAAAGCGCAAGCGAGCGGAGGACTACAAGAGCAACACGGACGCTGACGACAATACTTAATCATAGTGGTGGTGTTAGGTTAGCAGCTATCTAACTACTAAAATAGCAGCTTCACTTTGCGTACCATTCAGTCGTATCTCGTCTTGCTAACCAAACTATTGGCAAGTTCTAGAATACTTACTTCTCTGTAAGTCTAGAACTAGCCAAACATTTGGTGAGCGCGCCACGTGGTGCGGGCGTTCGTCCGCTACCGGTCGCAAAAGCGATAAGCAACCTTGATCCACATTTAAAAGGACTTAAAATATAGAGGATTTTTGATCGTGAGTTATCCAGTTGTGGCCAATGGAAACCGTTAAAATATATATGTGGTGGATACATTAGTGCGGCTTTGTGCAATTGTGCAGCGTCTTTGAGTCAGTGCGAAGCGTCTAGCAGCGAAAGGGTTTTGTGGTGTAGGGATTTCCAGATTCGACCATACGCCAACCTACTTTAGATCAAGAATCGGCTCGGTCTGATAACCCAGAGCTTAGGAACAAAGGATCACGGTAAGTACTCGGCGATCTGTCCGGATATGCTATCCGGATGGCCGCTGAGCTCAACGGTCGCCTGAACCCAGCTGAAGGGTCGGTAGAGATCCGAAACGACTACATTTCACTAGATATTTGTATAAGAAGCATAGGATTAAATAGGGAGAGCCGAAAAGGCTCCCAGAAGATAAAGAAACTCAGCTGAAAGGTCGGTAGAGATCCGAAACGACTACATTTCACTAGATATTTGTATAAGAAGCATAGGATTAAATAGGGAGAGCCGAAAAGGCTCCCAGAAGATAAAGAAACTCAGCTGAAGGGTCGGTAGAGATCCGAAACGACTACATTTCACTAGATATTTGTATAAGAAGCAAAGGATTAAATAGGGAGAGCCGAAAAGGCTCCCAGAAGATAACAGAGCAGAATTTTCCTAGTCCAAGACACGTGTACACTTTTCCGGTAAGTCCCTGCATAGGGCTCGATTATGCCTGCCGTCAATACTCGAGAGGCATAGCTTGTAAGGTATTAACTGGTAGCGTCAAGAGATTAAGTCGGTCCGGGTAGGAAAAAGTCTCGCTACGCGCTAAAGAGAGTCCCGCATACTCAGCGGGCCGGTACGTCGGATAGCCCGGGTGCCGTAACACTTCTAGCTGAGCAGCCTCTGCGCTCGGTGACCTGTAAAAGCGCTCGTGCGCCGTCGTCCATCCTTTAGTGGAGGGCACAGGGTTGTGAACGAGCTCAACCGAACATAACTCGGCGGAGCCTCGGAAGTGATCTGACTTGGTTAGTCGGAACCGAGTGGAAGGGAGCCACTCGTCTGTCCCGGAAGGGCCGGACCGCGAGGGGGCCACCCTCTGCGCAGGCCATACAACCGCCGACCTAACTCGGCGATTCGTTGTGGTTTGTGTAAGGAATCCACATCTGACGGTATTTGTGTGTTCTACTACACCACAGTTTGCAGCCGATAAAATATTGCAAGCTTCCAGCTATACTTTAATCAAGATGTCGTCTAAATCTGTATTCTACAGAATAAATCCCGGCCCAAATTGAGTTAAACGGCTGGTTGTATTGGAGCAGGAGAGTACAACAAAAACAAAGCAGAAGAAGAGATGCAAAAATACAGACGTCGTACAGGGGATTGTAGAGGCTTTAGGAGGCTAATAAAAATACACACACCTGCTGTTAGTTAATAATCGAGACCCGTGCAGATACAATACATTTGAATGTACTTACCATTCAGCACGAAGAATTATCGTGGCAAGGTTGCACGGCGACATACCCTGCTCCGATGCACTCGGGGGGACTCGAACCCACACTAAAGTATTGGCCCTCCATAAACACATCCGTTAATCGACTGAGCTGTCAGGGCTAGTTTTAGGAACTGTGTCTCACCCGTTTTGGACCCTTACGTTTGTAAATCAATACCCTTAACAGATGATTGTTATGATGATTTCAGCCTTAACCTAACCACATATTTGTCTTGTGGGCGATCTGCCGATATTAATCACAGCCATACTGGATATAAGTTTAAAAGTGACACGAAACTGGTTGCTAAATAATTTTATTACATTTTGCTCTTGCGGATTTATCACGTGATATCATTCGCTGAGACGCAACAGAGGCGGCCAAAAGTTCCTCAAAGCGAGCGCTTTCAAAATTTTCTTTTACAGGAAGATATGGACCAGCGAGAAATGATTTTAGAAATGACACGAAACTGGTTGCACACCTTGCTTTTGATTGTTCGCTAATATTGTAGTCCTAACGCAATATTCACACTAAAATAATGCACTCAGGTCAAGGCTGCACGGATGTTGCCCCTGACTGACACACGCAACATTAACAAGGAAAATCGCTTTGTCAAGGGAAATACGATTTATCAGATGTGAGCTGTTCAATCGCTTTATTTGTAATTTCTGAAGAGCTTCGTAAATATAAATTAGCAACGACACACCGTAAATGACAGGATTCACGTATTCGATAAATTATACCGGTCTCTCGTAAAACTCTGAAATAAATTTCAAATAATACTTTTTAAAAGTGACAACAGCCCCATCCACCACAGAAAGAGCGTCGATATATACCGCTTCGGTATACGGTAATTGACGAAATGTAATAATAGGGAATCTCCATTGTCTCTCTCAGCTTACATCTCACCTTTACCTGAAGATGCACTCCAAAATTACAGACAGCCGAGAGCCAGCATAGCCAACATGGCTTCTGTTAATGTTGCACCGCTACATAGGGGTACATTGTACCAGCTACTCTGGAAGCTGATGCTCCAATACAAAAGGGCTCGCTAAATGGTGTTAGTCAAGATGGAACTATGATATAGTCTGTACCAGTGTAGTTTTCTTAAACCCAATCAACTTAAGTCTACTGCTAGGCAGTCTGCTTGCAGTGGGCCAGCTGTAATCTACCTTACTTCACCTTTTGACGCCCACAAGTAATTTCTTCTTTTTTCTTCTTCTTCTCTAGCTGCCTACCGAGCCATAGCTTCTACAAGAATTCCAGTGGCCTTGCTGCTCTACGTATATTCGTCTAGGGAACATGATAATACGAGTGATCGTTATAGTAATTGACGCCTCAAATCCACCCGATTCGTTTCCGTAGTCATGTAGTAGTCAGTAGCGTCAGTAGCTTCTTTCTTCGTTGTAAAAAGGAAATTCTTTTGAGTAGCGGCACGAGTAGATGTCGTAGCTGCGCATGGAGATGCATTGGTGCAATATATAAAGGATGCCAAATTATATATAATTTGGCATCCTTTCTTACGTGTGTTTTTCTTTGGATCGCTATTGTTTGCTTAATTCCTTCCTTACTGACGTCGTAAGATACGCCATAGATGAATTCCTATGTCGTATTATACGACGTAACAAAAGGAAATGGCTCAGACAATACTTTATCCAAGTCATTATAAATTAATAAAATCCAAAAGGTCAAACGAGAAAGGTTTGAAACAGGTCAGGGGAAGGGTGCGGAAAGGAGAAGCGGAGCTAACGGGAATACGATACGCGGATACAGAGGGAATGACCAGCGATGCCAGTCATTACAGAATATGCCGGATGGCCCGCCCGCTCCAGCCCCGAGTCAATCCCGCTGTTGTTGCTGCAGCCGCCCGTGACATAGATTTCAGACATCTCTAGCGGCAATTGCAAGGTGCAGGATGGACAACTAAGCGTCCTCGAGGTATTCAGTGTGAGTAGAGCTACGTTAGTCCAGACGGCGCAGAAACGTTTGTCGGTGAGGATGCAGTAGTACTGTTTGCTATTGAGTCTGGGTTGATCCAAGACATTGGAGGCAGCGAGAGCGCAGACGGAGATAGCGGGATTGAAACAACCGAGGGTACAGCGACCGATGGCGTCCAAGAAGGTGCTGAGGATGCTGTGGCTGACGACGTCCGTCCGTCTCAAATCGACACTAACGCTCAGCTATCTCAACGCACCTTTATTGGGTTGTTTGGAGCATCCAGCGATGTGAAACTTTCGCAGGCGGCGGTGGCTCGGGCGTTTAACCTACCGCTAAGCAGCGTAACGACGGTGGAGCTAGATCGGGAAGCAGTCACCAGCCTGCAACTACTGTCAGAAGCGTCTGGAGCCGAAAGCGATGCTACCCCAGAGGCGACGCCAGCTACTCCAACGGACCGGATTTTGCGGCCGAGAAACAGCGTCAAGAGCAACGTGGATTTTGTTCCAGACGACGAGAATTTGGACGCTTATGAGAGCTTCAGTCTCGGGGGTAACACCGCAGAAGCGTTTAACGATGGAAGTGATGATGTTGGCCGCCCCGCGGCTGCCGAAGACGACATGTATTTGGTATGGGACAACGATGCAGTGGAGATGGACGTAGCTTTCGTTACGTCGCTTCACATTGGCGTAGAGACACCGAGCAAGAGCGCGAGTCAGCAGCGAGCGGGGGCTTTACGTGGGATACAGTGGACTCCAGCAACGTCGTCGTTCGAGGAAAACTTTACCGCGTATCCTGGGCTCAACATGGAAGATGCCCAGCCGACGCAAGAGCTGCGACGCGTTCGCCACTCGCCGCTACTTACCTTTTGCTACTTCATGCCAAAGTCACTATGGGTAATCATCGGAGTGGAAACCAATAGATACAGTCTACAAGAAGTGGACCATCGAGCACTGCGCATACTATCTAGGCAAGCCGACCGCCCGCACGAGAATCGCGAGACCATTGTCCAGATCCGCCGCCGTTTGAGAGCGTCTCCTGCCTACCAGACGCACGAGATCTTGCATGTGATTGGGCTTCTCGTAGCCCGTATGCTGTGCCCACTGAAGTGCCATTTCTCAGCTCACTGGTCGATGTCAGGCGATGGCGCTGTTCCAGCCGGACCGCTTGGTCAATTCATGGGTCGTAACCGGTGTACGGATATTCTGCGTAATCTTCATTTCGTTGACAACGAAGCGGACGCGCGACAAGCTCTGGAAATTGCGTCCCATAGTCGACAAGTTACAGCAGCGGTTTTTGGCTGGCTGGTCGCTACCGGGCGTTTTCTTTTCTTTTGATGAATGCGTCCTGCCCTCTACGTCAAAGCGGAACACTACTCGTATGGTTATGCCAGATAAGCCTCATAGATACGGATCGAAAATGTTCATGTTGTGTGACTCCAGGATAGCTTATTGTCACAGGTAATATGTATGTCGTAAGTTTCTACTTACAAACTAATATCTAACTTCTGATGTCGTAGCTATCTAGATTCGAGATGTACACTGGCAAACGTAATGTTGAAGAAACTGGTTGGTAGCTCATTCGACAACAGGACAGGTGCTGCTGCTGTCGTGCGTAGCCTGACGGCAGCTCTGAATGAGAGCACACGTTGCCAATGAATCTTGTCGCAATTGACAGATTCTATACGTCCGTTCTACTTGCTGTGGAGCTGCTAGGAATGGGGGTCTACGTGATTGGCACCATTATGACGGACCGGCTTGGATACCCGAAAGAAGTGAGAGCGACCCGGAAGACACGACCAACAGCAATCCCCCGCGGCACTTTCACGTTTGCCCGTTCTGTTGATATGCCGCAGATGATTGCTTTTCACTGGTGGGACCATAAGCCGGTGCATTATCTGTGCACCGGCTCGGCCATGCCTGCTTCTACTATCAACCGGAACATCAAGCAGGTCGGCTCGGTCACCGTTCCATGCCCAGCTGCAGTCAACGACTATCAACGCTGGATGGGCGGAGTTGACGTACATGATCAACTCCGCCTCCAGACGTTCTCACTCCACACCTCTACCAGTAATTTTCCAAGTACTCTAAAAAAATGTTTTTGGGGCTCGTCGACTTAGCGCTGGTGAACGCATACATATCCCATAAGGAGACGGCTCGGCTTTCCGGTTCAACAGCGATGACTCGCGGCGAGTGGTTTTGCGTCCTGCAAAACCAACTTTTGCAGCTCAAAGCGGAAGACTTTGCTGACGTAGTGGTTACACCGCCGCCAAACAATCAGAAGCGTAGGCGTGCACCCGTTCGAGCTGGAGCAGTCGGAGGACTGGGTGACTGTAAGTGGGGCTCAGAAAAGACGTCAGAGGTCTTGTAAGGTGTGTGCACTCCTAAGGACCAACCCGAAGAAAAAAATCTTCGCGACAACATACTTCTGTGAGCGCTGCTCGGTCGACAACGCCAAGTGCTGGCTGTGTAACAAGCTGCGGCATACTTACAAGGCTGAAGTTAACACGTGCTTCACTATCTGGCATGATGACTTTAACTGTGGTCAAAGTATTGCTGTGGCTCTGGGCAAGAATGTCGTCCTGCACCGCCCTGGTAAGCCGGCGGGTGAACGGAAGAAGACGCGACGGGAATTGGAGCTCCGCGGCAAAGATGCTGATGACGAAGGAACGGGAAACGTAGCTGGCAGTGACGAGGATTAGTATTGCCTGGGCAACAGGCTTTGGAGCCAGCACGATGAGCTGACATGCAAGCGATGTTGAGTGTTAGGTGCTAGTGTACTTTTCTCAATCTATGTCTTTTTGTTTCCTGTTTCACCATGTGTTTCGATTTGTTGTGCCACTCTTTTGGTCGCTTCTGCTGTCAACCGGGGTAGCTTACGACATCTAGGGGAGGAAGGCCGTCATCTATGTAGTATAATTGACGACATCTCTAACAAAACCTGTTGAAATCTTATGCAGTTTACCGCAGGTGGTTATGTACGCCATTCAAATATACTGTGAAAATCTTCGTCGTATAATACGACGTAAAAGTACCGTCATTAACGTGTTTGGAGGCCTAAATTCCGGTAAGGAAGGGGTTAAAATAAGCCACTCTACTAAACATTTCATGTTGTTAAGAGCTGCTAGCAGTCTGTTGTATTAAAATCGGTATGAGAGCGACACAAACGTATAAACTCGTTTATTTTTTTTAAGAGAGGCGAACCCACGGATTTGTTTTAGGTGCTTTGTTGATTTGATTTCCTTAGCTCATTTGCTTAGTCTTGTAAGTCTTGCTTTAGCAAACCTTAAACAAATCTAAGAAAATCAGAGCTTCCTCGGGCCGGAGGCGCGAATCTATTTGTAAGAAGAAAAAAACACACAGCAGCAACGCTACCGAAGCTCCGGTGGGGACTATTAATACATGTAGCTTTCGCACTCTGAGGTTTTGGGTTTAGGTTACACGGGTGTATTTGATCGTTATTTCAGGTGGCAGAGCGCTACCTATTAATAGTGTTTAAGCTCCGTGTGCGAAGCACGCGGGCTTAAACTTAAGCCCATGATAAAGGTAGAGCTCTATCTAGGGCATAAGATCCGTATGCGAATGCACTACCAGAATAAACAGTTAAAGTTCTTAATTCGAGTAGGTTTAGCACTGTTAATACGTCTACTGAGCCGCATCGCCCAATTAGTAGAACGGCGATCCACTATTGGCTTTGTAGAAGTCGACGAAATCGAGGATGACACCGTTGTTTCTTGTGTCATGCGGCTGCTTGGCTACCAGTGTGGCGACTTTTTCCGGATCCAAACCCTTTTCGTTCATCCACTGATCGAACTGCTGGTTCCGCAAACTGTTGAGACGTTCTTCAGGATGTCCTTTCATCTTGGCTTGGACCTTAGCATTGCTAAGCATTCGTGCGAGGTCCACGTAGTCGAAGCGTTTTTGGAGCTCCAAAATAGCAGCGTATTCTTTGGGGTGCTTCTCGTACTTGTTGAGTCTTTCAACGTAAGAGACCAAAGTGTCAGCTGTGCGGGCATCAAACAGGTCATCACCTGCTTTGTCGAGTCGCAAGAATTTAAAAATATCATCTGCAGCTCTCCCTTGGCTTCGCCACATTTCCGCCTCCATACTCGAAGCCACGATTCTTGTAGATGGCTCCGTTTTAGCCTGAGCAATTATGTTCTCCAGGATCTCGTCGCTGTAGTGCTTCCTCATCACTGAGAACATCAAGTCGTCAGTATTTGAATCGTCTAGCAGCTTCACGTAGGATACCCAAGTATCAAACTGTGAGCTCTCAAACAGATTTCCACCCGCCTTACTTAGTCCCAGACGTCTGAAAATATCATCTGCAGTTTTTCCTTGGCTTCGCCACATTTCCGCCTCCCCATTTAAAGCCGCGGTTTTTGGGAAAGAGATTATTTTCAATACAAAAAAAGATTGAATTCAACACCTCTAAAAAAAGGATGCTTTTCAAGTGGTTTTGATGTACTCTGTCCCGTTTATCTATATTACAGCTGTGTGTGTTACAACATATTGATATTTTTAGACATCCTGGTATGACACGAGACGGCGCATTCGCCAACAGACGCTGTACCGCAGTCATGAGCGACGATGGACAAGATCCAGAGGTCTCGCCGCCTGAGGGTGATTCTTCTAACGTCGCACATAGTTCATTCCGGTTTATCTCAATCCATTTTACAGAAGATGCTGCTGTTACTGCGCTACACAGTGTCGATACATCCGAATACAACCATCTACGTACGTATGGGCCGTCAGAACGTCGCAAGAGTGTCTACACTTGCATTTCGCATGAGGCGTGTTCTCGTCGGCTACGGATCGTTAAGATTTCAGAGCTCAACTCTTCTCATTCCATAACGACTACTTCATACGAAGTAGAATCTAGTGGTACCTATAGCCAGTTGCTAACCCACCGAAAGAGGTCTGGTATTGACATGCAGATAAAACCAGAGGTGGATAGCATTCTTCAAGGTGGAGCAGGTCCAAAACGATGCGTACTTCTACTACAGAAGAAATATAAACTTGACCCAACTATGTTAGCCAAGATTCCAGACGAAATCAAACTGAAGAACAGCAAAGCCAGTCTGAAGAAGAAACTAAAAAACAATTGGGATATTTCAAGCTTTTCAGTTCTGATGGAGTGGGCCCACCCGCACATGTGTACTACGGCTGACAAGTTTTTCGGAAGCTTGGGGATTGATGGGTTTATTGATTTGGCGGCATTTACTCAACAAAGTCTCGACTTTCAGAATGAATTACTCATATTGAACACATTTGATCACAAGTTTGATGGTGACACCGGGAAAGAAACTTCGTTTGGTGTTATTTTCACATCGCGACGTCTTTTTCGAAATCTGTACCGATGTATTTGTGATCAAAGAGAGACCGGTCTCGTTGGAGTTACCGATGGCACCTACCGCATCGATTTCAGTAAGTGTTATTACTAAATAATTACAATTTTTTTTTAAAGCTGCTAACCCATGTATATTATTCACGTTTATTAAAGATCGCTGGACTCTGGTAGCACTCGGCAGTTCTTGCTCTGTGTATGAAAGAAAACGTTACCGACATTCATTTGTACCTTGGATGTACATGTTTGTGCGTACGGAGCATGAATTTGCCTACAAAACGTTATTCTCTACAGCTAAGCGATTCGTCGCTGATTACTTCAACGATTCTTTGGTTTTGAAGTACGGAAGCCAAGATCATGCTTCCTACATTGCTACAGCTTTTTCCTCCATCTGACCTGGTATCAAAATACTTAATTGTTATCCACACCTTTTCAGAAAAGCGTTCGAAAAAGCTGGCCTATTGAATGACTCTGGATTCTACAGTTCTTACGTCGAGATGAATATATACCTCCTCGAGCAAGCGCGTATCGAAGAACAATTTACGGCAATGGTTGAGCGTATAGTTAAATATTGGAGCGACAAAAACGAACAAGCGTACGCGGATTGGTTCAAAAGCCAGTATTAGGGCGTTCTATGGGGTACATGGTTTGCTACTTCTGCTGTGCCTAGTATTTTGCCGTCACAAAACCCCATCGAATCCCACAACAAAGTGATAAAAACGGTGTGCACTCCGCAGCTACATGCAGCGACTTGAATGACACCCTCCCTGCGATCCTTTTGCTGAACAGTGACAAAAAGATATCCCGATACGGTCATTTCTGCGAAGGTAATATTTAACTTTTTCATCATAATATGTTTGACTAAATTAAAAAATGTTTGAGGTCCCGTTTCCAGCGAAATGGTTGAACACGCACGAGTGTTTTTCGTGAAAAAAATCATAGGAAGCAATACCTTATCTTGGATTCCCCAACAAAACTGAGCTCAATTGTTTTCAATACTTGGGAATACGCTGTTTACCCTAAAAACCAGTGTGGAGTGGAAGTCACCGATGCCCGAGTCTCCAGGGTTTTTTTCCCATCATTTATCCAACTTAATATATCAGCATAACTTTCAATGTTTGTATGTCATACAGATATCTTGACTCGAAAAAAGGAAAACTACGGAAAAGGTCCAAAGTTCCTGATTTTAATCTCTATTTTGCCTCATTGCACGAGGTTTTAGTACACCTACTTCAGACTTTCAGCTGAGCTTGACCCCTACAGTACCGTCGGATCAGGTAACATTGTGTAAAATGTTGAGATGCAATTTTTTTTAACAATCTATCCTTACAGATTCTGGCTGTTCGGTCACGATATCGCTGTGATTGTAAGGGGTTTTGGACTACTGGCTGGGTTTGCAGTCATGTTATAGCAACACTTGCCCTGATGAAGCAATATGACCTGCAAACAGCAACCGCTCACATGCCTGTTCGGAAACAGAGTGGGGGTCAGCGAAAAAAAAACAAATTGTCTGAGCAAGGACGACTCTAGATACTTCGAAGTTGGAAAACTGGAAAAACAATTCGTTCAAAAACCATCCTTTCCAATTGGGTGGAACGTGACCAAACAACTTCCAGTTGAAGACACCGAAGGAAAAATCACGTTGAGAAATGTACCTGGCCGAGTTGTGGATTGGCAAGATTGTACTGGGCCAAGAGGTGTCTATAACAGGGCGGTTGAGTTCAACAATGGTGCTAGGGAATTGCTGGAAGTGGATCAATTGGCTGCGCTGATTAACAAGTGCCATCACGAAGGGCTAAACGTTACAGCGCGTCTTTTCTAGTCGAAGCGTGACTCACGACATCGTGGTGATAACCATAGTAGTTCTAATACCACATGCTTTGCATAATACATACAGAAGTATCGATTTCCATCCAATGGAAATTGTATTGAAAAGCATCCGATTTTGTATAGCAGATAAGCCGCACCCCGGTTTTTGTAGATGACTTCGTTTTAGCTTGAACAATTTATTTCTCCAGGAATTGGTCGCTGTAGTGTTTTCTGATAACCGAGATCATCAAGGCGTCAGTATATTTATCGTCTAAAAGCGTCAGGTAGGATACCCAAGTATTAAACATTGAGTTCTCCAGAAGTTTCTCACCCTCCTTGCTTAGGCCCAAATGTCTAAAAATTTCATCAGCTGTGTTTTTCTTTTCGAGCCAATTACTGAGCTGTAACTTTTGAAGAGCAGTAACATTGATCTTTACGTTTTTGTCTTTCGACGCCACGACTAGCACTCTGGCTAACTCTGCGTCGTTAAATCGAGTCTGTAGTTCCAAGAACAAAACTTCGTTGGGATCTTTGTTGCTTTGTCGGATGTACGACAACCACGTGGGTAGAGCTCCGTTCCGAAAAAAACTCTCTCCCTTGTCTGCATTTAGTCGGAGAAGCTTGGCAACGTCACCTGTCGTATTACCATCCCTCAGCCAGATTGTAAGCATTGCGCTCTCCAGATTACGAGCCACACCGCTTGTAAGGCTATTGTCCTTTGCTGCAATTAGCATATGAGCTAGTGCTTCTTCATCATTGGGTTTTCTCAACTTGAGCAGCAGCAAATTGTACGGATCCTCGTTTCCAAGCTTTTTGACGAACGAAATCCACATATTCAGCAACGGATTTCTTAGAAGACCCTTCTCGTCCGCGTCCAGCTTCAAAAGCTTGTAGATGTTCTCCTCCGTTTTTCTGTTTGTGACCCAATTGGCTATCTGCATCGATTCAATTTTCTTGGCTGTCCTTATCGCCGCTGCGGTTGGCTGTGCTTCTGATACCAGTTTGGCCAGAATGTCATCGCCGTGGTGACGTACAAGTGTAGAGAATATCGCTGCTTGGCCTTTTTCAGGGTTCTTCTTGTAGGATTTCATCACGGATGCAGCCCACTTCTGATACGGTGTAGACGCAAACAGCTTCGATTCCACCTTCCAGACTCCGAGACTCGCAAACAGTTTGTCGGTTGCTCTTTGATTGTTGGATGTAAAAATTCCCATGACTCTTGTTAAACGTTTCTTCGTTGGCTGCGAATTAATCAGCTTTTGAAGCACCGTAGCAGTTGACGGCTTAACGCCAATCGCCCTCGCCTCGGGGCTGCCGACTTCCTGTTCAGCTGTCCACTTGCTCTCACGCAAGTATCGGTGGATCTGACCGCCCACCTCGCAATCCAAAGCATCATTTTTGGCGTCGATTACGTTGGATGCCGTAGCCACCTTAAAACCACTGTCGATGCATACCAGCAGACCGAGGGCCGCCAGCAAGATGAAGTAGCTGAAGCGTGGTGTTAAGGCAATTTTGAGAGGCATTGCTCTGAAGAAATAGAACGGGGACTTGGTAGAAAATGTCTAAATGAAGTTTTTAAGCTTCAGTTTGCCGATGTCAATGCATCAAATCAGTTTACCGGAATTCTCTTTACGTGAAGTATCTCTGTTGCACTGGGACATTCCTCAGTAAGTAAGTTTAAAATGTTTGCGCTGACTTATATACCGTAAACAGCGTAAAGACTCTACTTTCTTAAATACAATATACCTTAGTATAAGTAAGTAAGCTTAATTAAAAATGTTTGCGCTGACTTAATGTAACGTAAACAGCGTAAAGACTCTGGGTAAGTTTAAAAATGTTTGCGCTTACTTAATGTAACGTAAACAGCGTAAAAACGGTACTTTTTTTAAATACCACCATTCACTGTAAGTGTATTAATTAATACAGACGATCATCTCTGTATTGATAGCGTCGGGAGTGACTGCTAGCATACAAAGTTAAGATAGACTGACCTATATTCTCTCATTAGTAAATAGTGAAACGAAATTGACGGATATTTGTATTCAGAGGCATTTAAGTTTTGGTTTGGTATGTTTTGTCAGGGTCGATCGAAGAGTGATTAGCTGTGACATCTGCTGTTTGCTCCTCGTTTTTTCCACAAATGAAGTGGCAAACGCTCAGATCCATCCGCATTTCATTTATTGTGCTTTACAGATGGAATGTCCATCCCTAGATCGATGGTCGGAGCATAAAACCACGCGTAAAAATGAGATGGAAAGAGGCAGGCATCGTTTTGTTTTATCTGATCAAATTACAATTTCAAATCGGCAAAAAGGGTCGGCTTACAGGATATCGATGTGGATTTGGTGGTTGATCGATCCCGAGCAGTCGATTTGGCTGCATTAGCTCGATTAATTAGCCAGTCTAGCTTGATCGATTTGTACTTTTTAAATACCTCCATTTATTAAAATGACCTCTTTTTATTATAAATCGAGCATCAGGCTAAGTGGCAAGGACACAAGCATTGAAATACACAATAAATGCAATAGTAAAGCGCTTTTTGACAGCCAACAGAACCAATAACTCGTGAAAGCGGACCGAACGGTGCGACCTTGCAGCCTGGGCTTTCAATGGTATGGCATAAGTAGGTTGTGTTTCAGAATGTTTTTAATCGTTGCCTGTCATAAAGCGTGCTTTAGCTGAAAAAAAAAAACGTGTTGAGTCCACAACGCAAGCTTAACCAGATCCAATGATGGATTTTCGGCTTTGTGGCGGCAGATCTGTCGTTTGCTGTTCATTGATTAGCCTGTTTCTTGACGTGAATAGGGGCTTAGTGGACGAAGGTGTACGCGGTATTGCAGTGTTGGTCGGGAAATGTATAGATGACATCGCAAGCCGGCAAAAACTGAGCCAATTTGCGGTTAACGAATGACAACGACGGGCTATTCGACTCAGGGTAACGTGTGCACTTAATATTCGGTACAACGCCTAATAGTGATATCAGTATACAATATTAAAATGTGTACTTTATTTGGAGGAATTACTATTGGGGATATCAATACAGAGAGGATCATCTGTATTTATACATGCTAAAAGTCAATGGGTTTTACCTACCCTTCCACACCAATGAGTCTATTGTTCCTTTCTGCCAAAACGCCCTCAGCTACGTAGGAGGATGGCCCTTACGGAAGATCTCCTATCTGATCGGGTGCTTCCGACTAAAATTTAGCCTAACCCTTTGACGAAAAAAAAGACGATGCCAATCAAAGACATATTTGACCAGATTTGACATAATTTTATTAAAATATTAGTATGCATTCTGGGCAACTGGTTTGCATGCGCCTGATTAGCCCGTCAGCTAACAGGCGGCGTGGGTTCAATTCCCATGTCTGTAGGGAGCTCGATGCTTGAGGTAAGTGTCGTGTGCAAGTCCTTCGTCGGATCGGAGACATAACCAAGTGTTTGGGTCGGCACGCCACATCCCTTCGGGGGTGAGTCTCATATGGATCAGTCGGGATAGGATTTCCGGGGATAATTGCACCACCTGGAGGTTCTGTCCAATCGGCGTTCGGCGGATGGCAGATGGGATAATTCCCTGGGGCATAAACGTTCTCGATTGGCTAAATCCCTACTTTATTGCAAATATACAGATCATGGTTTTAATACAAATGTTAAGATAGATTAACAAAACCGAAACAGATTGTGTCCACATCTTATGATATTTGGCAAAATTCCATCCCGTTTTGACATGATCTCCTAAATTTTGTCGAGCTCTACCGTGAGTATTCTCCCCCGCCCTGGCATCCTTTGGCTTAAAGGCTCACTTTTAGTTTTACAATGTCGTTGCCACTACCAGCAATTCTCACCTGCCGCCTTACCATCAAGAACGGCGATCCTCTCACTTCGTGCCGAAACAAGACCGAGCCCATCGACTTCTCCTTTCAGATTGACCGTGGCTTCAGGCTATTCAAGGCTCAAGTAGCAACCGAATTAATTCGTCGTCTGCCAAACGATTGGCAGGATGACTTCAGCGTCTATCTCAAGCCCACCAAGCACGCCCCACAACGTGAATTTCTCGAGTTGGACGAGGAAAATTTCTCCAGTCGCGTCGCCAGATCTTGGGAATTAGCTCGCCTTCGTCTACACGGTCAGTCTGATTTTGTTTTAATGATTTTTGTTTATGTTCCAAGACCACTAGAACCAAGAGCCAACACTATTCGTAGAGCAACCGAGAATCGAATCCAAGAGCAAGTTCCCCTTGTAGCAGCTATACTAGCTGAGCGCAATATTTCGAGTGGGCCAGCCTCACAGCTGTACATGGCAACAATGCAAGCTCGACTTTCAGCTGACGCTCCACTACAAGTTCCTGATAACACAACATTTCGACAACTTCGGAACATTGATCAGCTTTCGCAGGAAATAAAGACGAATCAAGATACAACTCAAGCAACCGCTGACATCAATTTCAGAATGCTCAGGATCAAAATTCAAAGTGCAGTGATCCAAGTGCAAGTTCATGTTGGAGATCGCCAGGAAATTCTCGGTTTACCGGCCTACAGCCTTCGCCCTCCGTTCCGTGACCCGGTAGATTTTGAGACTCCCGCTCCCGCAGAAGACATGGATGATATCGATCACCTTAACGATCAACTCTAAAGAGCATAGCAGAGGTAGAGTACGATGTTTTCAGTGCAAATACATGAATTTTATTAAAACTCACTGATTTTTATACTGAGTTGGATCCCATCGTACCCACAATGACCGTATAAATTTTGCCCAACTTCCTCAGACTGTCTAGTGCAAAAGTACAGCGCGACATTGAGGACCGCAAGAGGATATTCACGGAATGCCATATTTGCGTGGCGTTGGATCCATCGTTTTAGGAGAGAAAACCCGACTTCTATAGGATTCAAGTCGGGTGAATACGGCGGCAGAAAAATAACAGTGCACCAGTACCGTGAATAAGTTCTTGAAATTCTTCGTACACGTTATCCAAAATGATAATTGATCTTGGTAAATCTCACGGATTGAGGAATGGTAGAATTTTCAACTTGAAAGTCTCGTGGAACGTCTGCCGGGTGAAAGTATCCTCGGCTGTACCCCACGCAAAAAAAAACCTTCCACGTCGAACGCAGCAAGAACTGAGATTCGCTTTCCGCGGGAGAATGGAATGGACACAATCACTGGGTCTCCGCGCGCGGACCACGCGTGTTTTCTCAGGGAGGACCTAAACCATAGCAAAGTCATACAACAAATTAGGAGGTAAGATGTAGCAGTCACAAAATTGCTATTGTACATTACCTTCCATCCTTTGAAGTATCATCGACAAACACGATTTGATCTGGCCCGCTGTAGTAAGGCAATAGCCTGTTCACATACGCTTGGCGCTCTTTTGGGATACTTTCACGAGCTCTTTTAGTCAGCACTTTGAGCGTTAACCCCAAATCGAACCGTAAAGCACGACAAATTGTCGAATCGGAACAGCAATATTGGGTCGCAAACTTCTCTTTTAATACCTCACGCAGCTCTTGGAAGTAGAAGCAGGGGTGTTGCTTTACATACTCGCGAACAAATTGTTGCACTTCAATCGGCCATTTAGATGACCGCTCATTCTTTGGGGTGTCGTCGACATTTCCTGTTGTCTTGAAGAGATGGTACCATCTCCGAAGGCTTCTGGCCGAGACGCCCAATACACCAGCAACTACGCTGATCTCAATATTGTAGACATACTGCAAGACAATGCCTCGCCAGCGTATGTCTGATGAGTAGATTTAAAATCAATCTGTTGTGAATACCTTACGTAAGGGTAAATGGCCGGTAAATACTGGCCATTCAGCCCTTAATTTGTTAAAAGGTACCCTTTAGACCAAACCGGAGCCCTTACGTAGGACCTCCACAATCAAGTATTATTGGGTCAGAGTCGGCAAAATCAAACAGTATTATTGGTCAAATATCATTTTATTTAGTGGCCTGGCTTAGCAATTCAACTTCAGCTCGTCCTCAAATCCCACCCTTAGCCCTACCCACCCTTGCTTAGGACCAGCCTTTAAAGGTCAGATTGGCCAAAACTTTGGAAAGGCACAATACTACAGACAATCATCTGGGCTGTGATGGCTCTTTGTAATCATCTGGAGAGAGGATACAGCCGCAAATTAAATAGTGAGCCGGATCACCATCCTGGATGTAATATCTTACAATTAGATCACAAATGGATCTCCAACTGTGATACAAGCTGCACGAAACCGCTACTTCATTCCTGAACACAATTATACGGCCACCTCGTCGAGTGCTTATAACCAAGGATTGATAGTAAAATGGTTGTCTTGAAAGTAATGCAGTATAGTAATATTACCGACATAAGCAATAATACTCTCTACAACTATCATTTCCCGCTATCTTACCGACTGTCTGTCCGTCCGTCAGTCCGTCGGATTTCCCGTCTTGCTATTTTTTTCTGCCTTTTCGCATTGCTACAACCGGCCTGTCTTATACACTTTCGTCCCACCCTACCGACCGTGCCTATCTTTCTGCCTCGAAGTAACTATGCCAGAATTACAATTATAGCCAAAAAGCGGACACAATTAACTCGCGCCCTGACTAGCGCTCTGGGCGCCCGCTCCGCGGACGCTAGGGCATGGTTGATTGGTGTAGAGAGGGATGACCACCTCCGCTGCGCTGCGGTGAGCTCAGAAATCCTTTCTCAAAGCAAAACTACATTTAGTATATAAAATGACTGTGCCCAAGTTATGTTGCGTTGCAACAAACGATGTACACAATATCCTTAGTGTTTACGCGTGATAGATGGCTATTGGTGAGCGTCATGGTACAGGTAGACGTGACAGTAAACTATTGCGACGAAGAAGTATTCGCCGTTACCACCAGGGCTTAAATCCATCTGCATGATGAGCACCGTGTTACCCTGTAAGATTTTGTCTAAATTCTCGGTTGAGCGCTTCGCTCCTGAAATGCCACACTTTCAGGTGCGATTCATTGCAAAGCTACGTCCGGTTATTTAGAAGGTGGATCAGTATCATTGGTGCGCCAAATCTCAGCATAAATCGGTGAGGAGATCCCAGATAAGTTTAGCGATAGTAAATACGACGACCGACGTGTATTGGGATCCAACGACATTGGGTGCATTGAGAGACGTGTACTACTTTGTCTAACCGAGAGGTATTCTATACCATATAGCGGATTGCGACGGTCAGTTAGAACGAGTTTTGTCTGTCTCCGCATGCATAGTATTGTTTAGAGCCGCTATTATCTGCCGAGGGTCACAGAATATACCAATTTCGCCTCTCCATATGCCTGTATATCCTTTCCGAGAGGTATTTACTGGCTCCGATATGTATGGCGAGCATACGAAGCCGCTTGGCTGTAGGATCATATGAGATACGTAGACGTGAATCAAATAGTAGCCCGTGTACGTTACATAAAGTATTTTTGCTGTCTACTTTCAGCTCGGCGTGCTACTTGATGTGTCAGTACATAGCTCATTTCGCAAGGTCGCAAATGGGTGCATATATATTATGCCCTCGGGATAGCCAAACCCTATGCATAGGGTCACTGTCGCTCTCCCGGTACATTTGCGTCGTCGTGCTGGCTTATTGTGTATACGCTTCTGATGTATCAGTCTCTATGACCAGGTGCGTCACTAACTGGGCACAGGTCAGACTGCACAGATACAGGCTAGCTGACTGCGTGTCTGTTAGATGATATATACGCGCGGGGAGGGTACGCCTTATAGTCACCCGCGACTTAGCCCAGCTCCTAGCTCTTCCATCATGGACATGGAGGTAAATGCTGTGGGCACTGGTGGTACTGTGCTTTGCTTGCGTCCAAGTGACCGAGCGTAGTTGGCATTAGCGGTGATGCGTACGTAGATAGGGAGGGACAGCTTGCTGCGGTACACAGCTGATACCACGTGCTAATTATTATATAAAACGCGCTATGCTCGGTAGGCGCGTCAACACTTTTGGCAACGCCATAGTCAGCTCACCATATGTGCGACCCCAAGTCTCACCATATCCGCCAGTACAAAAAACAAAGATAAGCGGGATATAGGGGTATGCGTTTTTTTCCTTCAAATTACTTGCTCTTGTACTGCTTCGTTTGCTCGATGTGTTTGGTGTTTCGGGCAGTCGGCTTGCGAGGGTGGATGCTCTTCTTCTTCATCTTGGGGTACCAATCAGAAGCCATGATTTCTATAACATTAGCCAGACTATTCTGACGGTGCACCTCCGCTGGGTCCGGTGGGGAGGTGGGGTTATTTCTCCCAGAGCGCGGTCGCTTTTGGGTCGCTCTCGCAGGCAATAGAGCGTCACGCGAGGTCGCGCCCGCTGATTGTACGGAATGTGTAACCGTACTGCAGCTTACCGCAGCAGACGCAGCGCGCCTGGAAATCCGTCGTAGACCGCTGCGGGTTTACCAAAAACAGGTCAATATTGGTTTTGCACATGGGATCGCCATGTTGCAAATTATGAAAAAGCTTATATAATTACTGACGTGCGTAAAAATATTAGGTATTCTAGCGGATGATTACTGTTAGGTGTATTTTATAAAACAAAACAAAAAAATAGCTCATTATATCATAAGCATTATTTCGTTTCACGTAAAATAATTTCCAGTACACGGTCATTTGATGCTGTTACTCATTATTAAACAAAAATAGTTTATTTTAATTCTGGCAATCGCTGCAATAATGATAGTTTCATTTTTTTTAACCCAAACATACTTTCAGCAATAACAACACCACCACGTAGGTACCATTCGCGCATGCAGTGCTGTGTCCGGGTGCAACGATAATAACGCAAAGGTTGTGAAGCCTCCTAAAGTAATAATAATACTAATAAAAATAATATCGTCTCTACTTAAAGAAAAGTGTGGAAAATAACATCGCAGAGCTTTAGCTGCATGGGCTGGTTACGGTGCCCGATTTGCAATACATACGACAGGTTTTGCGTAGCTAAATGTAAATACACATTCGTCAGCACAGCTCGCCTTGGTGCATACATCCAATCGGTGCGTTTCATGCTCGGTAGAAATATTTACATCACATCCAATCGCGAGAGCGAGAGACGGTCTGATCGTGCGACAGATCCAGTCAGTGTCGCAGGTCGGTCAATATTGACCAATACGCGCGCGAGTTAATTGTTTGACGCTTTTGGATATGTAGTGGGCCACGCCATTACATAAGTAGGTAGATTTATATTACAAAAGTAGGTGCAGCAGCACACGGCTAGCGTGTGCTGAACTGCCGTCATCCTATTGGTTGATATATGGGAAGCCAGACCCATTATCAGCCAATAAGGGTTTGACGTGTATTTGAGTGGTCAGGGCAAGCTGCCCTGGACCTAAATAAAAACAGAGTTGATTTTCCTTCAGACTAAGCACTTGGTTTCACTATCGCGGAACTTGCACGCTTCCTCATTATTACGTGTAAGCTAGTAACGGACACTCTAGGCCCGTTACAGGATATATTTGTAATTTTCGCATAGATAGGTCGAGTCAGAAACGTAGGCGCGGTTGATAGTATGGGAGAAAACTGTATTAGCCAGGCCAAGTGTAGCCATGCCAAAAGGCAGGAAAAAGCAGCAAGAGAGGAAAGCGACGGACTGATTGACAGACGGACTGATTGACAGACGGACTGATTCACA